GAAACTACAGTGAATGTCGTTTTTTAATGAAGAATTTATGTGCCTATTTGTTAACATGCTCAAATGCTGATTGTGTTAATGAAAACTAATAATTTTTTTTATGATGAAAAGTAAAAGTAACAATATCCGAATAAAATTAAAAGAATGTTTTCTAGGAAGTCATTTAGGCATTATGAGAGGTACGGAATACCTACTTGTTCTTCAAAACTAAGTTCATGTGATTGTTAATTGGATGAAGAGTAGTAAAAAAAATTCCAAAATGTTTCATAAAACAGCAAATGTTAGATGATTAAAACACTTCAAACAATTAATCAATTTAACAGAAAAGTAGTAAGCATCTCACAGTTTGAATAATCTCCAACTAATATGTGATAATAATAATAATCTCTCTTTAAAAAATGAATTTGAAAGCAAAATGTAGCCCTGCAATATGTTCCATGATTTTTTTGTAGTAGCAGTCTGCTATGAATAAGAATGAAAAAGGGTAATAAATAAAACTCCACTAGTAAATAAGGCAAACCTATCTAATAAGATTCTAGTTACCCAGTTATTTGGACGATGTTCCAGCGGATTGCTATGATTACTGAAATTATCATCTTTGTCAGAAGCACTAGTAGTTCTCTGCCAGCCTCCCCTTGGTCTAGGATCTGTGGCTGCAGTTTTAAAGGGATGATGCCCTCCAGTTGCCATATCACTGAAAGCAAAAACTAAACCATGTACTTGCATATACATGTACATAGGAGTCACTATATCATGAAGGTATTATGAGGGACTAACAGGAACTTAACCATATTCAAGTTCATAAAATATAGAAAGAAGTTCTAATACCTGATACTGAAATATAATATGAGATAAAATGTAACAATACACATAAATCATGTAATTAAACATATATATAAAATCATACATTTCTTCCTTCAAGGTTTTAATGATTTTGTGTATGCAGTGTTTTAAATAAAACAAACAAAAAACTTCAAGCTGAAAGAATTTTCCCCACTCCAAATCTCTGTTCGAATGCGAGACATTATGATAAGAGCGCAAAGACCTGTCAGACACTACTAACAATGAAGACCTTACATTAGAATATGGGTATATTAGTGGTAAAAACTACACATAAAAGACTCTCATATCAGTAAAAATAATTATACATAATCAATTCTAATTCCATTTTGACCTAAACATCGAGAAAATTCGGAATAGTCATGTGCTTTTATCTAGAGTATTTGTATTGAGTGATGATCAACAGAAATTAATTCTTATATATCCATTTCCAATGATGTATAACACAAACGGTCGATTTACATTAAACTTCAAATACACTTCTTATAGCTGCATGAAATTCAGTGCAAGTGGTTGCATGCTGAATATTTGCATTTTCAGAGTCAATCATTAAAAAATATGATCACGTCAGCAAAATCTGCAATTTAAATTGATTGAATAAGTCAATAAATCACAAAAGCTGAATGAAAAAATACTTGCTTCGTACAATATTTCCTGTGTATTTTTAATTTAAGCGTGTCTGCATTACTGCTCAGCGTTCCTCAGAAATTCCATGGAAGCCATTTTGACGCTGCGGAGCAATACACACACTTTGCTAAACGAAAGTTTTGGAAGTTTTAGGAAAACTTCATTCATAATCGTAAATTCTGATCTGTTACTGAATTATACTCTTGGTGTCAATTCTGATTTTGTTATCTTCAGAATTGTTACCGTGTAATTGTGGATCTATATTTATAGTCGGATGTTTCTGTCCACGCTTACATTGTTGTTCGAGCCCGATTTAAAAACAGGCTAAATCCTTGAAAGACATAAAGAAACTATAAATATACTTAGTACATCTTATCCACAACTATGAAAAATCTGACTGTAGAAAGCATAATTAACATTAAATTTTTTTATGCATTAAATGCATATTTCTCTATTATAAACATGCAGCTTTACTGTATATATACACCCACTGATACATTTATGTAAATTTGTTCCATGTTTTGTAGAACACCCCTGCTCCTTAGCTCCGTGAAAACAATATTTTTCTCTCTTTTTTTTTTAAAAATTTATTTCAGTATATTTTCAATTGGATAAGTTGTGCTTGCCTCGACCTTGTGTTGCTCTATGTCATTGATGTTCGAATTAGGGACAACACAATGGTTACTACTAGCATTACATCCATGTAAAATATTTCAGTGAATTGATTTCAGCAGCAGATGTTTGTGATGTTGTTTAAAGAACCGCAATTAATGCAAACAAAATGTTGTCTTCGATCATTTTTAGCTCACTCGAGCCAACACAAATCAGAGCTTTTCTGACCGAAGGATGTCCGACGTCCGTCTGTCGTCTGTAATCTGTACATCGTCTTTAGACTTTTTACATTTTCGACCCACTGGACCATGCAGTTTCAACCAAACTTGCCAGAAAGCATCCCTGGGTGAAGGGGTTTTAGGTTTGCTCGGATGAAGAGCCTGATGGCAATGCCCTCTTTCAATGAGAGTTATAATTAGGAAATAAAGAACAACCAAAAATAAATAAATAAATAAATAAATAAATAAATAAATAAATAAATAAATAAATAAATAAATAAATAAATAAATAAATAAATAAATAAATAAATTTTAAAAAATGGGAGTTTTATTTAGAAATCTCCTTCTTCTCAAGAGCCACTGATCATGAGTTTCCTTATAATGTAGATTCAAATTTGCTCAAATCATGACCCTGCAGCTATATGGTATGGGGCCACAATAAGGATCAAAGTTTAACATAGAAAAATATCTAATATAGTGAAAATCATGAAATTAAAACATCTTCCTCTCGACTGAGAACAGCAGGACCATAATTAGTCTTATGGATACGAAAACATATCCTAAGACAGTGTAGATTTAAATTTATTCATATTATGTCCCCCGGGATAGGGTGGGGCCACTATATAGGGAATCAAAGTTTTACTTGGGGATATTCTAAGAAAAAAAGGTCATCTTTAAGTTAATTCTTCTCAAGAAAAGTAAGACCATGATGATTAGTCATATCAATATATAATGCAGGTATCATCAGCTACATGGTTCCAGGATTTAGGGAGAAGCCACAGTTGGGGATCAAAGTTTTACGTGCATGAGGATTATAGGAACATTTTTTAAAAATTTCTTCTCAAAAACATCAGGCCATAGTTAATGTATTCATATAATTGTATATACATGTATATATATGCAAGTATCATAAGGTTGTGCAGATTAAAGTTTGTTTATATTGTGGCACTCTGGGAAAGGCCGGGTGGGGCCACAATTTTATGAATTAATGCTCTCAGTTTTACATAGGAAAATATTGGAAAATTGTCAAAATAGTCTTTTCCTCAAGAAAAACAGAGCCATGATCAATGATATTGCAAGCATCCTCTGGTAGTGGCAGATTCAAGTTTGTTCAATTCATTAGCGCCCCCCCCCAACGGGGTAGGTTGGGCCACATTATGGGATCAAAATTTAATGGGCATACATGTATATATATAGGGAAAATTCATTTAATTAAACGTTTTTCTCAAGAACAGCAGGACCACATATGCAAGTATCCTAAGGTTGTGCAGATTAAGGTTATAATTCTGGCCCTCCGTGAAAGGGTGAGAAGACAGTTTTACGTAGAAATATATACTGAAAAAAATGTGTTTAAAATCTTTTCCTCGAAAACAGAAGAACCATGATAAATGATATTGATATTCAGAAATTCTTTGATAGTGCAGATTTAAGTTCTTGGCCATGGGGTCCCCCCTCAAATCATGCCCCCGGTCAATGTCATAATTTGAATTGTATAAGAAACAATCTTCGAAAGTAACAATAGAGTCATCACTAATGATATTATTAAAATAAGCAAGTATCCTTTAAGAAGCGAAGATTCAAATTTGTAGGAATCATGCATTGCCCCAGGATTTAGGGGATACACAAAATTAGATGGGATTTTATATGGAAATGATTTGAACAATCTTTTTCTCAAGAATTGCAAGGTTATGATTGATCATATTAAAATTCAAGCATCGTCAGGAATTCTCAAAATGTGCAGAAATCATGGCCCAAGAGGCTAGGACGGGTCCACAATACGGGTCAATTTTTTTATCTGAATATATATATATATATATATATATATATATATATATATACATATATATATATATAAATTCTTTTTAAAAGTTTCAACTACAGCAGGACCAGTGTGACTGAAGTGAGAGTGGTGGCTGACTTCAGGTATTAATTTTGATTCGTTTTACTTAATTTCCCCTTTTGATTATTATGTTTCAACGTATTAGTGAAGACCCCTTTTAACTTGAGAGTTTGTAAATATTGTGAAGAACGAAACTGAGATACGTTGAAGTTAAACTTTTGAAACTATACTGTCTGAGATGACCTATAGATATGTGTCAATGATGACCTAGCTCCTTAAATATTTTACCAACAATTATCTTTCATTTACCATCAGTAAGGTTGATTATATGAACTATAATGAATCCACTTTTTTCCCTTCTTTTTCTTGGAATTTTTAATTACTTTTTATTAAAGTGTTTACTTAATATTTATGTTCCTGTTTCGTTTTGTTTTGTTTGTTTGTCATTTTTTGTAAAGTGTTTGTTTAATTTTTCCATTACCCCTTTTTTCAAATTCTGGATCCCCTATTGCCGAGACAGATCTTTACTGCTTATCACGGCAGTGTGTCAAACCTACGTTTTCATATTTAAAAAAATCGCTTTTATAAAAACATTCAGACGGATCAATAATTCACTTGAACAAATAAAACGTGTCCCAGCATGGAATGTTATTAAGAGTTTAAGATATGATAATGAGTTTATCTATATCTGTAAAACTGAATATTATTGTCGTCCAATTTATTACGCAATACATAGTTTATCTATGTGTACAACCGTCGGTTCAGAGCGACAAGAAAGTATATGTCGGCTAATCTGGATGTAACCATGTATATATTAGGTAGGTATAAATATTTGTCCGTGGGGCATTGTAATGGTATATAGCACTTCCTGATTTTCAGCGAGACCTGTCAATGATTTGTATATTTTTATCATGAATATTGTTAACAAAGTCAAGATTAAGAACATCTGGGATGGTTAATTTTTCCAGGTATGTGTTTAACTTTGTGTTGTCATTTATCATCTCTTTTTTTTAGTATTTTGAAAGTGATATTGCAATGCAATGAACATGATGAATGTATTAAAAAAAGAAATTATAAAAGCCGGACTATTTTTGAAACGTATGTGATAACCTGCAACTATGAATTACATCAAACACGGTAGTCATTGTTCAGCCTTAAAATGTGGCATCTTAATTGATTCATACTCAAGTAATTTTGTCTTTAGCCGTCTTTTACTCATAATTATACTCATTAAGATAACTGGGTGCCACTGTCAATTCATATTATTTATAAATGTTATATACATGTATATATAATCTTAAAATCATTGAAGTCCTAGGCTTCGGATTTTTTGGATGCAATTTTAGAACCTCCAGAATTCATCGTACCGGCCTACCTTTATAACAAGTGCTATTTTAAAAACATTGCTGACAAAAGGTTTTAAACATACATATATTTTCATTTAACTGGTAAACAGATGCTATTCTGCAATAGGAAAGAACAAGGTAAGTTCTGTTTGGCTTCCTATTTTGATAACTTTAAAAAATGCAATTATATTTACGTACATGTATGCTCATTTTTTCCCCTAAGTTTCAATAAGCAAATTCAAAGAATTGTGGTCTCCCACTTTCGGTGTCTTAGTTGATGGGATCCCATTATTTATGTCATATTGTAACTGTCTTGTTTGTGTGTCTTGTCTTGTCTGTGCATCAATACCTAAATTATTGAATTAATAACAGTTATGGCAAAGATTCCATCTTCTCAAAACTATATCAAACTTCAACATCAAGGTCATGGGGTCAAATATCATAATACAATCCGAAAGGTCTTGTCACAATTAATGCACATGTGAAAAAAATATCAAAAACCAGGCCTGGAGGTTATAAAACTTTTTGAGTACATACTCTGTCCTCAAACTCATACTCCGTTCTCTAAAACCTTACTCATACTCAAATTTTATATACAAATTAGAGAGGAATTTTAAGCATGAGTATGGTTTTGGAGTACAGAGTTTGAGTTTGAGCACTGAGTACATACTCAGAAAGTTTTATAACCTCCAGGCCAGAATGTACAATCGGAGAGGTCTTGAAACAGGTAATACACATGTCAAATTAAATGCCGTATCTTCTCTCAATCAAAAGTTATCAGCAATGTTAATATTTTTGAAAATTAGGTCAAACATGAGGGTCAAGGTCATGGGTTAAAAATCATAGTACATTTGGAAATGCTTGTCACAGGTAATTCACGTGTCAAATATGAATGACCTATCTTCGAGCCTTCAAAAGTTAGCAAACTGATAAAATGTTTGCAAATAAGGTCAATCTTGAAGGTCAAAATTCATAGCACATTCGGAAGCATTTTGACACAGGTAATGCACTTGTTAAATATGAACACCCTATCATATGTCATTCAAAATCAGAAGTAATTACCAAATTTAAAATTTTTGAAAATTAGGTCAAACATGAAAGTCAAGATCAAGGGGTTTAAAATCATTTCATGCTCGGAAACATCTTGTCAAATGTAATGCACATGTCAAATATTAAAGCCCCATCTTTTCTCCATCAAAAGTTATAAGCAAAGATAAATTTTTGAAAAGTAGGTCAAACTTCAAGATTAAGGTCATGGGGTCAAAAACCATATAATATTTGGAAAGATCTTGTCACAAGAGATGTACATATGTAATATGAAAGCCCCATATTTTCTCATTTAAATATTATGACCAATTGAAAGTAATGTAAAAATTTTTGAAAAGTAGGTCAAACGTCAAGGTCATGGGGTCAAATTATAGTATATTTTGAATGGTCTTGTAACAGGTAATATATACGTGAAATATGAAAGCCATATCCCTTCTCATTCAAAAGTTATGACCAAGGTTAAAGTTTTTTGTGACAAACTGACAGACAGACGAATGATATTTAATGTCCCCTCGCTTTCGCGAAAGTGGGGGACAAAAACAAAACGAGTCTTGGGATTACGGTAAACTTCCACCCTCACACTTTTATGGGTTCACAGAAGGAAAACTGCATTATTTCCACTTTTAATATAGTTTGATATAAATAAATATTACAAAAAAATGTATAAACCGAAGTACTCCTCACCTTTTTTAAGACGCCAGACACGTACATACGTCAGCATAAAAAAAATAAAACATTTTCGGTAAACAACATTGTTAAAATCGCATAAAATCTTGTTAAAAGGACATGATTTAAATATTGAAAGTTCTAAAATAAATTTTACTTTATAAATATGTATAAATTGTGATATGATATGGGTAACAATTTTAAAATAGAAGTGTCATAAAGAAGCATAAGTAAGAGTTCTTGCCCTTTGCCCCATTTTTTTTTTTAAATTTCTTGTCCTTTGCAGCATTTTTTAAAATTCTAATTTCTTTTACTAAACCATATTTTTTAATTATTAATCCTTTTGAAAAATATTCTTCTAAAAACATATATTTCTATAATGCACATAGTTATATTATTGAAAGCTTTTGCAAAAATCTATGATATTAATCGTTAATTTACTCCTGCGAATATAGCAGGCAACTGTTTGCATGAGTATAACGAACAAAATTGTGAAATTATTAATAACATAAAACCAATTTATACGATTAATACATGTATGTACAAAGTGACAAATGTGAGGTAAACAAAATAATGTAGAGTATATTCACATATTTCTAATTATTCATTGTTGACTTTCTTTTCTGGTGTCAAAGCTCTTTTCCAACAAACAAAATATACTTCTAGCAGTTGTAATATTTGTAGGATTGACAAATTTTCTAATGGGATTATCACTAGTATAAATGTATTTACATTAGATATATCAGAAAACTTACATCTATATTGGTCATACTTTGAACAGTATAAAACAAAATGTTTTTCATCTCAAATAAACAGTTTACACGAACAGCATAAACGTTCTTCTCTAGGAATAGGTGGTTTACTTATGTACCCATTTCAATATAGAATGGATGGGCACTGATCCTTAATTTTGTTTATACAGATCTATATAAGATTGCATTGTTGATGTAATTGTTACACATTGAGGGTACATGTACATTTTGATCCCTGTATATTATACTTGTCAAGTATTTCTTCTCGTCTTTACACAATATATTGTAATGTGAAATATTTAACTTTATTTCATTTGTTTGCTATAGACACTACAATTAGGATTCGGAGACAAGTTACAACAATAGTAAACCGTTACCTTCATTATTCTGTATGGTTGTATCACGTATATTTGTCCTTTGTTCTTGTTGCATGTCATGCAGTAACAGCAATATTAAAACAAAAAATGTAGATAAATGAAGAGGGGAAAAATCGGCAAAATGAACTGGTAAAAAACAATGCATATAGTTATATGTAACATTTAGGCAACAACGTACGCAATATGCTCCCTAGTGAAAATTAAGGCATAGCAGTTAGGCATTTACATGTGCTTGTGTATAATGTAATAATTAAGGTACAAAGTGCCACTATAAACAATATTAAAAAGAAACACGAACACATAATTTAAGCAAAGTAGCACTGAACATGTTCATAAAATGTTTGTACCAGAGGACTACTTCTGTGTTGGATCTTAATTTTAGAGCGGAGTATACTAGTTCGCTTTTGCTGGTCTAAGTGGGTTTTTGATATTCGCATCTTTTTTAAAATACATGATCGTGTATAAGAAGACTTTGAAATAAGGAATGTGTTACAGTTCAAACTCCTCTAAGAGTTTTCTGGATACTCTGTTACATATCTGTGTATACACGTATCGCAGGAACTTGTGGACAGGAACCCCCCCCCCCCCCCCCGTGATATTCAACTCCGTGGCTTGTCGGACATTTTTTTTTCACTAATTATATTTATAACATTTATGTTAAATGTTTACCATAGGAAAAATTGGGGAAAAAACTCCAAAATAATCGTTCCGGAAAAAAATCTCTATACATTATAATGTATACATTATAAGTATATAGTGGGTTTTTTGTGTGGAACGATTATTTTGGTTTTTCTCCCCAATTTTTCCATTTGTAAACATGATAAATGTTATAAATATACAGTATAGTTTGTGAAAGGGGGGGGGGGGTCCTGTCCACAAGTACCCGTGACATGTGTATGTGCACATTTTTTAAAAAAATTATTTATATTTTGTGCGATTGTGCGACGTATATGGGCTGTGTTTCGAGAAATGTCATATAAAAGATAATCTAAATTAATTGGAGTTTCTCCGCGTAGTTTAATATTATTTTATATGTTTTCGTCTACAGTATATTTAAAAGATTCCAGTTTGAGATAATTGAATATGTTTGATTCTGACAAGTTTCGTCGCAAGAATGACCAAAAATTACAAAATTTTAAGACAATATGTTATCCAAACACTGCACAAACTATAGAGACACAGGTAGTTACACACATTTTAACCAAACAGTCATATATAAATCTTGCAGTTATGATATCTGTAATTATATTCAACCTTTTGGAAAGAATATAAATTATGAACTTCTGGATGCAGAGACCCATTGTTTGCATAGGTACATGTATATAGGATCTTTGAATTCTTAATTTTACATACATATAAATCTTCTTTTTTTCCAGACTTATCAGGATGCTGACTATTCTAGGATTCCTCGTTCCATTGTTTATCATTCTGGTTATTTTTGCTGTATCATTCCTTTCAAATTTTGCGATCAGCAGAAAGGTAATATGTTATCGACTTACTTTCGCTGTTCATTTCAATCGGGATCGATATACCATATATAGCGTCCTAATATTTCATTTCGAGTTTCCTCTTTTTCAGTAATAAAGACTTTGATTTAAATATCAAGCTGCTAATAAATAGAATCCATAGATATTGGTAAGTTCCACCCAAGATATTTTTGATTCGTTTTTTTGTTTATTTCTAAAAATGTTTATCAGGCAAGGGTGTCATTTAAACGGGCATTCTCGATAGTCGATAATGGGGGGAAAAATATGCTCAACGAGTAATAATATAGGGATGCCTAGAGTGACTCCTATGAAAAGATTACTAAAATTAGTAATTTTTTTTAAATAGTCAAAATATCCAAGTCTTTGGCATGTTTGGGGGGGGGGGTGTCTTATAGATGTATTTTTTCCCCAGAAACTAACTTTGTTTGAAACGAAAGCAGGTTGTCCCAATCTATTCTCTCATAATGCTGGTTTATTCAATGTATTCTGTTATAGTGTTTGCTAGTAATCACTACATTTAGCGACGTGGCTTGAATTACCTACATAACGTTTTTTTAGCTTGTTATACAACTATACAACAAAATGATGATCTCTGGTGATATTTTTTCCAGATTTTCTAAATATCAGCACATCTGGAAGAATGAAAAGTTCGTAAGAATAAAGAATAGAAAATCATGTCTGGCAACTATTATTTTGTGATTGTTGGACATTTAGACAATCCGATTTTTGAAATGGAATTTTGTCCACCAAGCAGAGCCAATGAACCCAAGGTAACCAAAGGATCCATAATTTGTGCCAGAAAGTTATGTTTTTCAACCAAATCTAGTTCCTTAATCTTTTTCATTGTCAACATATACAAGGCTTGCTGAAAAAAATGAAGGTGGAGAAAAACTGTAAACTAACAAGCACAGATGAGTGTTTGCGGTTCTTGAACTTCTACTTTTAGATGTCCTCTGTATAGTGTATAAATTTTGTACAATATTCTTGTAGAAAGATGACCATCGTCACTTGAACCAATTTGTGGCTCATGAGGCTCTGGACCTGGTAGATGAACAAGTGTGGACCACAAACAACATGTACCTTAAAATAGTGGACAAATTCAATGAATGGCTTGTCTCAGCCTTTGTCACAGCTAGTCGTATCCTTGTCATTTGTCTATATGCATTTCTTCTCAGCCTCTGCATTTTCCTTTTCCTGCAATTTTGATTAGATTGGAAAAAAGATCATTAAATGTGTTTTTTACTAAGTCAACTATGTTGTGAATTTGAATGCCATTTTTAAGTATACATAGAGAAACGTATGTTAAATGAACATCACCATGAGGGGACTGATATGTAATTAAAATAAAAAAACAGGATAAAGGGCAGCGAAAAATTCAAATATTGATTGTATTTTTGTTGGTTTTAAAGATGTAAAATGTGCAATAGTAAACACATTTTTCATAAGTGAACATATTTCACAGGATTTTTAATTATTTAGCAATTAAAACCATTTAATGTAATCTTGATGTTGAAGGTGTGTATGAACTGTGATGATATTTAAAAAAAATACATGCTGTGTGTCTTCCTTAAGAAATATCAAAGGAATGAGATTCATGATGCTACATGATGTGAAAAATGAAGATGGAATAAAGAATTTCTTCACAGAGACCTATGAAATGTATATAAAGGTTAGTCTTAAGAGCGTACCACATATGCACTTATTATAAGTAAACACAGACACAGTAAATTTCAGTGCTATTGCTACAGCTGTTATAATGTTAATTATTTAACACCACATCATAAAAAAATAAGGTATGATTGAGGTTCTTCAGGTACTAAATTTATGATTACATTAAATTTGAGAAGTCATCTTTAATCACATGATAAAGCCTCATTATTTCGAACACTTGAGTTTCTGGACAAATTGTCCTGATTAATGAAGCATTCAGATTAATGAAAGATACAGCTGTCATATTTGTGGCATCAGTCAAATCATTATTAAGACAACTTTTGTTTCCCATTTTCAAGTATAAAGTACTTAATATTGAATTATTAGATTTCAGTCATAACTTTGAAATTTGTGAACCCTGATCAATGCTTATCCTATTTTCTTCTCTGTATGGTGTGCACAGAAAACAGCTGAAAATTATTTTCTCATATTTTTCAGCATTCCATGAATCCATTCTACGAAATCAACAAGCCAATCGTGTCACCTGCATTTGAGAAAAAAGTTCAGACATTTGGACGGAAATATCTCACCGGATGAATTATAGGTCAATGATATTTACACTTGTGTGTATCTTGACAGTGTGCAATAGTTATTTTCTGTTATTACATGTATGTATGTTTATGTATATATAAAACACAATAAAAAAATAACAAAGGATTGTCTTTTTCATTTTTTGAAACCCATTTGCAGGCAGCATTGAAAAGGAATCTCATGAAAAGTGTCGTTTTAATCAATTTTGTTGATAGTCAACCTCACTCTCACCTGTTTGTGTGTACATAGTTTTGTTATATATATGGTAACACGGAAATATATAAGACATAAGCCAGGCGACTCAGAATGTGAGCACTTTACAGAACCAAATGCCGATGTTGTTCCATTCTCTGGAGAGGCAAACTTTCTATCAAATTTCTACCCTTGCAATATAAACATCTTTGGCTTTGACCACAAATCAGCCGAACATGCATATCAATATGTAAAAGCAATGAGAAGCGGCGACATTCCACGAGCATCGGCTATCCAATCGGCAAAATCGGCTCTGGAAGCGAAGAGAATCGGCAATATGGTCACTCCTTCTCCTAGCTTTGTTACCAATCAAGTCTCCTTGATGGCTGAGATAATTGAAGCCAAAGCTGCTCAGGTTCCAACCTTTGCCGACACGCTAAAAAGCTCAAAAAATTCTACTATGTTCGTAGAAACGACGTATGACAATTTTTGGGCATCTGGACTTGACGCAAAACAGACAAGTCAGACTCGTTCCAAGTCGTGGCCTGGAAAAACAACCTGGGTATAATTATTGGAGAAGTGGCTTCACGTCTACGCTCTAGACCATCTGCAAGGTCTGCGTCTACATCCAGAATGCGGGGCAAAGACTCGACACAAATGGACGTTTCAGAGATGATTAAAGATCTAAAAAATACCAGGAAACCTAGCAACTCAAGTAGAAAAGCACAAAAGTCTACACGTGACGATGGATAGACCAAAGTTCTATTTCCAGACACCCAAGGTATTCTTGGTTCATAGTAAACAAGTTATGTTATGTACTTGTAATCTAATCAAACTTATAGAAATATAGAGATATACTTATATAATATGAATTATTTAAAATGGATACAGTGAAATTCATTTCTGTTAATGCACGAGGCTTGAATTCAAAAGAAAAAAGAGAAAAACTTTATACCTGGATATTAGATACAAATATAGATATATGTTTTATCCAAGAAACGCATTATATTGAGAAAAACGAATTTCAATATGATTGTAAATGGCCTGGAAAATCTATTCATGCTTTCTCAGATTCAAATTATAGTAGAGGTGTTTCTATTTTATTGAAAAAAATTTAAATGCTGAAATACTTGATACACATAAGTCTAATGATGGCAGAAAACTGCTTGTTAACATCAATATTAATGATAAAACTTTTACTTTGGTCAATGTTTACGCACCAAACAAAGAATCAAATAGAATAGTTTTTTTTTAAAAGGTTGAAAACATTTATTAATATTAATGCACTTAATCAATCACATATTATTTTATGTGGGGACTTTAATTGTAAGATTAATAACACGAATGATAGGAGTGTTAAAATCCTAAAAGACTGCGTAAATATCTTATATGTTAAAGATCTATGGTTTGATAAATATAAAAACCTAGATGGTTTTACATGGTGTGACGCTTCTGATACTACCAAAAGTAGAATAGACTTTGTCTTTATAAGTGATGAACTACTAAATCAATTTAAAAATATATCAATTAGAAAGATTCCAGGAACGCATAGCAATGGAATAAGAATGTCTGATCACAGAATGTTGAAATTTGAATATAAAATGGTTGAAAATAAACGGGGGACGGGACATTGGAAAATGAATACCTCTATTTTAAGCGAGGATGATTATAAGAAAGGTATTATTCAGCTAATACGAAATACTGAAAAGCTAGATAAACCATATCTGGAAAAATGGGAAATCTTGAAACAAGATGTCAAAAATATTTCAATTAATTTCTCCATTAAACGCCAAAAAACTTTTAAACAAAACATAATGGATATAGAAAAAGAAATTTCTGAAATTGAAAATTTACCACATTATTTAATAAATATGAATAGGAAACGAGAATTAGAAACTCAATTAAGCAACCTTTATGATAAAAGGACAAAAGGGGCACAGATTCGATCACGTGCCAAATGGGTTCAAGAAAGTGAAAAGAATACAAAATATTTTCTAGGTCTCGAAAAAAAACATCAGATTCATAACGTTATTAATGAAATTGAAACTGATCAAAAAGAACTACTTTCTACAAGGAGAAATGTGTAACTTTTATGAAAAATTATATAGCTCAAAATTGATACCTGATAACAATATAAACTTAAACGAATGTAATATAGAACCCTTAACTGAAAATGATAAAAATGCATGCGATATGTTTCCTACTCTGGAAGAATGTAAAGAGGCAGTTATAAATTTAAAAACTAACAAATCCCCAGGATTAGATGGAATACCAAATGAATTTTATCAATGCTTTTGGAAACATTTATCTCCACTATTTTATATGGTATGTTAAAAGAAATATTCCAAAACAACGAGATGAGCTTCTCGCAGAAACTTTCTGTTGTATCATTAATACATAAAAAAGGAAGTAAATCCTTATTGAAAAATTATAGACCAATTAGTCTAACAAACACTGACTATAAAATAATTGCTTTTATTTTTGCTAGACGCTTACAAAAGATAATTGATAACTACATAGGAGGTGAGCAAACCGCGTATATTAAAGGGAGATTCATAGGAATAAATGCCAGGTTAATTCTCGACATTTTTGACTACTGTGAAAACAACAATCAAGATGGTTTACTGCTTTTTTTAGACTTTGAAAAGGCATTCGATTCCGTAGAATGGAATTTTCTTTTTGAAACCCTCGAAAAATTTAACTTTGGTAATTGTTTTATAAAATGGATAAAAATCCTATATAAAAATCCTACTTTCCGATTAAAAAATAATGGTTGGATCTCCAAAACATGCGAAATGAATAGAGGAATTCGGCAAGGATGCCCAATATCAGCAATATTATACCTTTTTGTAGCTGAAATATTGTCAGAAAAAATTAAAAACAACATCTACATTGAAGGTTTTAAATATAAAAATTCGGATAAAGAAATAAAAAATATACAACACGCAGATGATATGATATTGGCACTTAAAAACATTGAATCATTATCCCAAGCTGTAAGTATACAATAGATCTATTTTGTAAACACGCGGGATCAAAGATGAATTTAAACAAGACAGAATATATTCTTTTAGGCTCTTTAAAAGATCAATATACTAATGTGGAAGGTATAAATACAACAAATCATGCAGTGAAATGTTTGGGAATATACCTAGGACATGATAGGATAGAATGCTACAATAAAAATTGGATGAAAATATATCATGAAATAGAAACTTTATTTGAGTCTTGGAAGAAAAGAAAATTAACACTTTTTGGCAAATGTGCTGTAATAAATACCTTAGCTATTCCTAAGTTGATTTATAAGGCCACAATACTAGAACTACCAGATAATGAATATGTAAAAAAGTTAAATAAATCAATTTTCAATTTTATTTGGAATAAAAATGAACGAATAAAAAGAAATACTGTGATAGGGGAAATAACTGAGGGTGGCATAGGTTTGACAGATATAGAATCAAAACTAAAGGCATTAAAAGCAGCCTGGGTTCCTAGACTGCTGTTAACCAAGCATGTGATAAAGGATTTTGTAAACAGCTTTTGTAAAGCTCTAGGTATTGATTTGCAGTAACTTTTAATTACATCAGAGACAGTTATAAAAAGATTTGATATTGTTCAACACATGTCACTTTTTTATAAAGAAGTTTTTTCATGCTTTAACCTTTGCAAAGAAAACACAAAACTAGATACAGCACACACATTTTTGACACAACCTATTTGGTCTAATAAAATCTTTACCTACAAGGGAAAATCATTTTGCTTATAAAACTGGGTGAAAAGTGGAATCTTATATACAAAGCACTTATTTAAATTTAATGAAAACGGAAATTTAAAATCTTTAGACGATCTTTCATGTTTTATTAAACACAAAAGTAACTGGCTTTGTGAATATCTGATAATTAAGACAGTATTTATAAAATACGAACAAATATTTGATTATTCGAAGATAAACTTCATCAAAATAGATAATCCTATCTTAACCCTTAAAAAACAAAACACCAAATTTTTCTACACTAAAATAAAAAAGGAAAAATTACAAACTCCATGCTCTCAAAGTAAACTTGATATCGAATTCCAAATAACAAATAATTCGGACTGGGAAATATTTATTTACATAAAATAAAATTAATGGAGGACAAAAAGTTAGCCGAATTTAATTACAAGCTACTAAATAATATACTATGCAACAATTTGTTTTTAAGTAAATGGAATAGACAAATAAACAAATATTGTAAAATTTGTCAAAATCAATTGGAGAATACAAGACACTTAATTTTTGATTGTAAAAATGTTTCTCAAATATGGAGCACAGTCAGTGAATATGTTGGTTTTCCTGTTCATTGGAAGCACATTGTTGTCGGATTCTGCTTTGTTCAAAACAACACAATAAGACTTTACAATAAACTTTTCTCTTTTATTGCATATAAAATATATAAACACAAAATGTTTTGTCGAATTGATAATATTGAAGAAAGTGAAAATTCTCTGATACATGCTGTAAAAGACTCTGTTAGGTCCTATGCAAATGTTATGAAAATTATGAAAAATACTAATGATGGAATTTACTTTCAAAATTTGTCTTTGAAATTATAAATTGTTAACTCTTTTTAATTTTATTTTAAATGAGCACTCACTGCAGGGTGGGTCAGTCATCCTGTTATAAAATCAACCTGGAGGTAATGTGGATGGACTCTTTAGATGTTATTTTATCTCCGGTTGAATGTGAGTGTTTCTCCAATGCTATATATTTATAAAATCATCATTATAGTCAATTTTACTATTTACAACTGACAAATATTTTTCTTTGTATTTAATATTATGATTTTTTCAAATTTCAATATGATCTATGTGACTATGTCCTCAGAAAATGTAAATTGTGTAAAGATATATGTCTGTAATGTTTGCATTATTCACACAATGATGTTTATCTGTCTTTTTTTTATGCCCCCGGATCGAAAGATCCAGGGGGTTTATTGTTTTTGTCCTGTCTGTCTGTTTGTCTGTTTGTCCGTTTGTCAGTTTGTTTGTCTGTTTGTCTGTCTGTCTGTTGTCAACTTTAACCTTGCCCATAACTTTTGATTGGTTGGAGCTATGACTTTCATATTTCACATGTGTATTCCTTGTGACAAGACCTTTCTTTGGGTACCATCATATTTGACCTTTTGACCTTGACCTTGGATTTTGACCCACTTTTGCAAAAATTTTATGAGACTTTAACCTTGGCCATAACTTCTGAACAGTTGGTGCTTGGGGTTTCAAACTTCACATGTGTAATCTTTGTGACAAGGCCTTCCTTCGGATACCAACAACTTTGACCTTTTGACCTTGACCTTGGAGTTTGACCTACTTTTGAAAAACTTTAACCTTGGCCATAACTTTTGAATGGTTGATGCTAGGGCTTTCATATTTCACATATGTAATCCTTGTGACAAGACCTTCCTTTGGATACCAACCACTTTGACCTTTTGACCTTGACCTAGGAGTTTGACGTACTTTTGAAAAACTTTAACCTTGGCCATAACTTTTGAATGGTTGATGCTAGGGCTTTCATACTTCACACATGTAATCCTTGTGACAAGACCTTCCTTTGGATACCAACCACTTTGACCCTTTGACCTTGACCTAGGAGTTTGACCTACTTTTGAAAAACTTTAACCTTGGCCATAACTTTTGAATGGTTGATGCTAGGGCTTTCATACTTCACATTAGTAATCCATGTGACAAGTCCTTCCTTTGGATACCAACCACTTTGACCCTTTGACCTTGACCTAGGAGTTTGACCTACTTTTGAAAAACTTTAACCTTGGCCATAACTTTTGAATGGTTGATGCTAGGGCTTTCATACTTCACATATGTAATCCTTGTGACAAGATCTTCCTTTGGATACCAACCACTTTGACCTTGACGTTTGACTTTTATTCTAAAAACTTTAACCTTGGCCATAACCTTTGAAGAGTTGTATCTAGGTCTTTCAAATTTCACAGGTGTATTCCTGGAGACAAGACCTTTCTTTGGGTATCAACATTTTTTATCTTTTGGCCTGGATTTTGACTTGCATTTGAGAAACTTTAACCTTCGCCATAAGCTGCCATACGGGGGCATCAGTGTTTCACAAACACATCTTGTTTCTGCTGTTTTCAAATATATTATGGAAATATTCAATAATTTATAAACGAAATTAATTACCAATCCAGGGAGCTCCTGGCACCCCAGGTGAGGTATCTACAGAGGGCTTCTGAGGAAGTGTTGCCTTAAAAATATGTTGTATGTTATTGAAAAATAAAAGTATTTAAAAAAAACAAAACCAAAAAAAAAAAAAAAAAAAAAAAAACAACAAAAAAAAAACCAAAACAAAACACGGAAATATATGGGCATCCTTGAAAAAAAAATGGTGTTGGGGACATATTAATATTGTTGACATTTCCACCTAATTTTGTCAACATTGCTTCTTCCAGGTGACTTTGACAGTCTTATTGAAACTTCACAGTAATGATCAGTTTTGCATGCAACCATTGAATTGGCCACCGTTGCTATGAAAACGAAAGAAGGTCAGCTCGGGGTAACATAGTCTATTGCTTGTGATAGCAAAGTTCCAGTTTTAATTTGGCTTTAGTTCGTAGTTCCCCTTTCCAATATAGGGGATCACGTTGCATAGTGAAAAAATTGATGTTTTTTCTTCAGGAACAGCAAGGCCATGGGTTCCTTGTCATATTGATATTCAAGCAGCCCCATGTAGTGGGGATTCAAATTTGCTCATATAAATACCTCCAGGAATTATTTTGGGGCCACAGAAGGAGGACTCTTAATTTTAATCTTCTTACATAGCTGGACTACAATTTGTTTTTAAAATAAAGAAATTATGTTCAAATGGTTAATAATTTTACATGAAAGTACACTGTATATACACTTCTGCAAGACAACAAAGCTATAATTTATAAACTTGACCTCAAGCCCGATTATACGCTAAATGGAATTTAAAATTGTTAAACCACAGATTTTTAAGTTGCTGGCTACATGAGGTTTGTTCACATACCAGATATTTATTTGTGACTCAGGTGAGCTTTGTATCCCTAGCCTCTTGTGTCAAGCTTTGTTTTTGATATATAATTCCTCCAAATCTTTATCTGAATAAAGGTTACTGGGTATTAATTTTTTAAACAGTAAAATGCTTTCTTTGGTTGTTAGTAGGGAATTAATGTTGCAGCTGTTGCAGAAAAAATACATAACCTGCGTAAGCGGGTTATGTATTTTTTTTCTATACCCAATTATCAAATGTGTGCAAAACGGGAACACACCGCTTAATTACGGCTTTAAAGTTTGATAAACAACCGTGGATGGTTGTAAGAAATAAAGGATATTTAGTATTCAGTGGATGGCAATATATATACACGTCTTTTCGAGCCTGGGGGTGCACGCAAAATTCTTCGCTAAACAACACAAATGACCAATACTGTTTTTTAGAAAAACGGCGACGAACTACATTAAATTTTTCATCTCATTTTATTTTCGGAGAATTACAACACAAGATTAAAAAGTAAAGGATCCTCACTAACGAATTATTGTTAGACTTTAAGAAAATTATAAAGGTGTAAATATTGAATTTATCTTTTTCAATTCGGTTATCATACGCTGTTGAATACTAGCCATTCATACCCAGGAAAAAAAGGTTACACATGTTAATATATCTTGGCAAAATAAAATGTCAGAAATTTTTAAATTGATTACAAATTGAGTAATACATTGTGGAGTTCAATTTATTTTATTTCAATCTAAACTATCCTCAAGAAATTACAAAGCAACAGAGGTCGTGAACATTGAAAATGTTCGACCATCGTTATTCAAGAATTCTGAAATGTGTCTCGTGTTAAGAAACAGTGAATGTTCAAGGCACCTAACTGAGTGAAGCGTGTTTTAGAAGTCTTTAAAAACACACACATTGTGAACGTCGAGGCTTCTGGGTGTCTTATCCAAATAGAAAATGAAGATAAAGTTCTTTTGAAGTACATACTGAGTGACAGTGATTGGGAATTTCTTGTTGTCAAAAGAGTCCAGTGTTTCTTCAATTCGAAAAAAAAATCTGTAGTAGATTATGATATCTACAAAGGAATTGCTCTCACAATATACCCAGAATCATTGAGAATCATTGGATAAAAATCCCCTCTGGTAGCAAAGGGACTGTCGAAAAGCCGATAAAACGTCCCAAAAGATTTAATCCCTTCCGTGACAAAATCTATCAAAATGCTCCAAATGGCAAAAAGCATCTCCTAGCTGAGGTCTTATGAATATGTGATAGTATATAATAGGTCAGATAAACGTGCAATTGTTGAAACATTCCAGAGGATTTTGATAAATGGAACTTTGTCTACCCGATTCAATTGGAACATTTGGGTATAATTTTTCCAAATAATTAGGTGCGAAAGGTCGGCAAGTTTAAGTGTCATTCAGTTGGTCCACTATAGACCTTTTGTTTGACTCTCATATTGCGAGTGATAAGACGCATATTGAATATAGAAGATATTAAAATCTGGATAGCCGCGTACTGATTTAGGGTGACATATTGGTTCTCAACGAAAAATTTATGACGTTTTAACAAACTCTTTCCATATAGATAACGCAATAATTCTGTATCATCTTTTTTTCTTAGTCAATGTGCGAAATTTGAAAAAAATCGCACTATCTCTCCTTTGATGTTAAGTTTGGCAAAGAAAGAAAGACGAACTGTTTTCTGAAATTTGCCTCCAATGAAAGCTTCATTTATCATTGAGGTACTACTTTTGTTCATTATTTCCAACACGAAAGGAAAATTCCTCGGAGGAACCATCAGCAGTTATTTTTATAACAATGTCGCCGTGAGTATATAAATTTTGTTTGTTTGTTTTTGTTTTGTTTCTATGTTTTTGTTTTTTTTTTCTTTGGTTTGGTGTGGTTAGGTTTTTTTTGTCTTGCCTCCAATAAGAAAGAAATTCGGAAAATAGGACAATTTACAGATAAAATAAATCATGATACTCGAATGTTTACAATTGATTAGAGATTTTTAAGGTAAAAATTTGAATTCCACAAATTTTCAATATCAATTTGAAATTTTATAGAAATGAACATATTTGAAAAATTAAAAAAAACTACCTGCATGTAACTGGGAAAAATAAAATTAGTCTTAGTTTTGCCAAAAATGAAAACTTGTAGAAATACTTTTACTCAAAATATATGGAGACACCACGGCATATATTCCGTTACAGAGATCAATATGAAATTCAATGTAAAAGAACTAACTTCTACATTTTTAAAAAAAAACTCAGCACAGAAACTCTCCTTTTTCTTTAATGAATTTAAGTCTATAGCTAGGTTACAGGAGTTTCCAGTGTATCAATTTTCAATTTATTGTCAGAGATTAACGTACAGACTGGTTTGGGAGAGAGGCACAGGGCCCTGCGGTCCGCCATGTTCCCTAAAAGACATTGGAAAACAATTTAATTCCTTGCCTCCTTCACTGTCATCATTAAAATGGAGGTGCACTGCCGGATGTTCTACCAACACAGAACTACATGACGTCAGTTACACGTTAACAGCATTCAGCAGCAGTAATTTGTCTGGATGGGAACAGGGAGAAACATTCTTCTTTTACCCGGGGTGGAAAATAAACAATACCTATGAAGTCTCGTACGTTATATTTCTAACTAAAAAAAATTGACTAATGATTTCAAAATCAGTTTTTGAGTTATCAGCTTTATTCAAAATGCAGGAATTGCATGTGTATAACTGCATCGCAATAAAATAAAATAAAAAAAATTAAATAAAAATTAAGAGGCATTCCATGCGATTTTTTTAAGATTCAACACATACCTCGTATTTTACATTTTCGAAAAATATATTTTACCTGATTAAAAAAATTGCCAGTATCGTATAGGCCATGATGGCAGACAATTAAAAAATCTCGAATTTGTTCTTTGTGGCAACATTTATATGATTTGGTTATTAGTGCAACTTTTTCCAAAATTCTATATACTTTTTGTTTTGTTAAATGGAGCGTTATAGTGAACCTGGTTTACAAATGACGATTTGTCCGAGATTGATGAAGAAAATATGTTAATTTGGCAGAGACGCAACGTGCGCTTTTTTGTTTTCTGAAGCAATGTATACTTAATTTAAACGTGATGAAAAATCAATAGAACTGAGGAATTGAACAGTTTGTGACCTTGCTGTAACCTCTGTCTGGTATAACTTAAAATTAGGTCTTATTTTATTATAAGCGTAATCACAGTTGTTTGCTTACGAATTATTCCGAGTTTCGCCAAAAAAAGGGGGGGAGGGACCCTTGGAAGAGGCACATATAACTTAATACAAAAAAAAAAAAAAAAAAATAACAATTACACGTAAAATAGGAGGTGAATATATATCCTACATTGAACAAACTTGCTTAGATACTGCATCAGGGAATGTTAAGTAATAATACTTCAAATATACAAGACCTATATCAGGTTAAATTTTCTGAAAGAGGTTTATTTCCTATTGATTACAAACTCAAAAATGACCAAACATGCAAAGAAATTGTTTTTGCAGGTATAATCATGTGTCAGATGCATACCAGGCGCGTAGTATTGTTTTTGAAAGGAGAGGGCTGAAAAAAGATAAATTACCTGAAAAATTTTGGACAAGCAAGTAAACTTATATTGTCCAAACTCGAAAATCCTATTTGAGGGGAGGGGGATGGGTGTGGCCGGGTAGGTTCCAACTTTTTCGACAAACAAAGTTTATTGATACATTACCATGAGACGATTTGATTATACTGCAACAAAAAGTGTGTGTGTGAGGGTGCGTGTGTGTGTGTTTAAGGGGGTTGGGGTTGGTGACAACTGGCCTTTCAATGAATATTTTCAGTAGTTAAAAGATTACGTTTGGTAAAAAACTACTACTACTTGCATACGGCATATGTGACCTACAATTACAGCTTAAGTATCAGGGTAAAACTTTTTGACAGTCTATTTTTAGGAATACTGATAATTATTCCAAATTTCGATATCTCAATCAAATTCTCTTTGGAAAGATGCTTTTTTAAAACATTACCAAACAGCCAATCAAAGAGTGCAGCTATTATAACTGCATGACATTCTTAACAGTAGCTTATAGATGTAATATGTTAATGAGATAAACATTAAATCAATCATAATATATTACTCTTCCAAAGTTTGAAAGCATGAAGGAATGTTCACGTGTGTAAAAATTACACAGGAATCGCATTCACACTTAATTACTCTGAAATCACTAATTTTCATACGGGTTTAATTTTTATTTTTTTTTGTAGCTTGAAGAGACCCACGAATTTATACCCCCAACGAAATGATAAAATTCCATACTTTTTATGATGTTTCTCCTTTAACCACGAAATCAAATCCCCTCAAACCAGTTATTTTTTCCTCAAACAACAAAAATTTAAAATAAGTGATTTTACAGTACAATGTAGATCTTGCTTTCTTTTCGTTTTTGTTCTTTACTATAATATAAAGGTCAATTGTAGATTAAGCGGATTGGACTGGCTGGCGCCCGCATCCGGACTAGGTAAGATGGTCGCTGGCTTTGACTTCGGTATACGAAATGATACTGGAGTGCCTAATGCCAGCCCGATCTCCGCGGTGCCATCAGAATTAGGGTAAGTTTATTGACGATGAAGATTTCCAAATTAATAATCGATTATAATAGTGTCACCATTAGAACGAAAATTTATCGTTCTAATGGTGACACAATTATAATCGATATCAAAATAATAAACTTCTCTTTTCAAAATCAAAAGTTCTCGCTCCGTGATCGGAAGGTCATGGGTAGGAGCCCCGTTCGCGACTGACCTAAGTCGATAAAAAAAGGTATAGTAACTGTTCCTTCGCCAAGCGCTCGGCACTTTGAAGTTGCGGGTCCTTCGGATGAGACCTTAAAAACCGAGGCCCCGTGTCACGGCAGGCGTTGGCACGATAAAGAACCCTCACTGCTCAATAGTCCTGAGTGCCGAGTAAAGGTCTAAATTTGAAGCAATTCACCGGTATATGGTGACGTCTCTATATGAGTGAAAAATTCTCGAATGGGACGTAGAACAACATACAATCAATCATCCAATCAAAAACAAAAAAGATTTGTGCACTGTTAGGCAGAACCATGATCACGATATCATTAAATTTTCTTAAAAAGAAAAGTTTATTTTCCAAGGAAACGAATTGTCGCATTCGTATTGTACAATATGTACAAAGACTTTGTGTGGGTAATGGCACGATTTTTTTTGTGTGTGTGGATAATATAATGAGCACTAGGCAGGGGAGGATTCAGGATTTTTATCCAAGGGGGTATACATGTCAAGACTTTTTTGAAATTTTTTGACAAGCCAAAAAAAAAGTAAAGCAACTGGCCCTAACCTGAACAGTCTTCAAATACATGACTCTCCTTACCGTTTTCAGAGGAATCCGTGTTTCCTTGGGGAGGGGGGTCCATGGTCATTTTTTGGTTACGTTTACATATAAATTTAATAACTGAAAATTCCAGGGGGGGGGGGTTCCACCACCCCCTCTATATTCGCCCCTGCTAGGTGTGTTTAGCCCCTTTTAAGTAATACAGCCTTTAACAATTATGATAGCCTGTTTCCTAAAAAGGAAAGCTAGCTAGACATTCGATGCTAAATTCCATAATCCGAGCTGGCTGTCTTGTTTACTATTTTGCTTCAAACTTTGGATTGGTTTTGTTTCCTCCTATTCTGGGAGTTCAGTAAATTTTTAAACAAACATCTCTTGACTTCGCAAAACTTTGTTTCGAAAATTACTTGTACTTGAGATATCTGTATCCAAAGTCTGCTATGTTCGTCCATGTAGTTGAGTTATCCGTTCAATAAAACTATAGATAAGATGGATACATTATCTAGCACCTAGGGACAAGCTAAGCTGGTTTAGCCCTGCTACTCGTCTATGGTTGCAGATTGTTTATTCGTTAAAGTGACAATCAAATTCTAAGCAAAAATGAAGGCTTAAATTAAGGTAGCCTTATGAAGATTTTTTTTAAAGTCCCATTTACACTCTACCACTCCGTTCTGTCAAGTTCAACTGTCACTTTTCCCCACAGAATTCAGTTTGGATGCACAACAGTGATCAACATTCCCGCCGAGGACCCGGATGCAGACTCTGTAAGATGTCGGCTGGCCACTCCCACAGAATGTGGAGATGCTTGCACTAGCGCTCCCAATATCACACTGAACTGGGTAAAATTCAAACACTGGTCACAGCCTTCCATGACCATGATTGTGAAAAGAGCTTTGCACAATTTAGCACAAACTTGCTTTTTCACATGAGACCCTTTGCGTTGCTGAAATAATGAAATATGACTAATATGTATTTGTATCAGTCTATAATATATGATGTTTATTAAAATGAAAATAAGGAACTACATCTTGTCAACAAAAATATGTCACTAATTACAAATTTTCATCGTCGGGACCCACGGGTTGAATAAAGTGTAACGGAGAGAAAACCCTTGGGTTCCGACGATGACAAAATTTCAAAAACTGTTAATTGTAACTGCATTAATTGTAAATGCATTCAAAGATTAAAAGATGCACATAACCCTATTGTTCTAATTTCCTTATCCAGGAGACTTGCTCTATAGCTATTCCTGCTACCACTCGGTATGGTTACGAACCAAACAAAGACTACAGGATTACGGTAATGGTGGAGGACTACCCGGATTATACAATATCTGTAGGGAATCAGGTCAGGTCCATCAGACGACCCATCAGCAAGATCCCAACACAGGTTGGTAGATACACAATGGTTATCTGTAACAGATAGGTGGATCCAGGATTTTTTTCTCGAGAGGGGTGGGATTGAGGTTCATCCATGGATCGAATCAAAAAAAAAAAAATCACAAGCAAAAAGAAAAAGCAGAAAATGATATCTACATGACTGTGTTCTCATATATTCATTTTAATTCGTAGGGGTCATTGTTCGTAGGCAAGAAAATTTTTACTTTTTCGTGGGAACATAATTTCGTGGGTTATTGGTTTATTCGGTAGATTCGATGAATCAAAATGTTTACAAAATAAACATTCGTATGGATATAAATTCGTGGGTAAGGGTGACCTACGAAACTCACGAACTTTGGTCCCCCACGAACAATGATGATTCCACAGTACTAAGAAGATAGGGTTCGAAATCATCTGTAGGGTACTTGGTTAATTTCATGAAAATGAAATTCTAGGGGTATGAAGACCCTCTCCCCAACTCGATTCGACAAATGGTAGATTCTTATTCATTAGAACTTAGAAATATGAACGTTGCCTTTCTCAGTAAATCTTAAATAGTACTATTATTGCAGTTTACGATAACTACTATAAACAGACAACAATCATGCAGTAACATTGGTATGAGAATTGATGGCGTTATCCCAAACCCTAGAAATTTGTTTCGGGTATCGTACGCGGGTAAACCCGTGGAGTTTAATGGGGCTTTCTACATGCAATCACCGAATATCAAGTAAGAATCGTTCCTTCATTACATCAAGGTAGAATAAATAAGATTATTGATTTATCACAAAATTTTCATATATAAAATGAATGTCTTAGCATGACAATGATCAAATGATGATTTATGCTACGAATTGTTTTAATAAACTTGTCTTAGCCCTAAATCATCAATTCAATTGCTTAATTTATTCAAGTTATAAACAATATTTTTTTCTGTAGTTTAATAATTTTGGGGCAAATTTCAGTGACACGACGTTTATAACCAGTTTCTTTGCTGGTGTAGTGTACACCGTGCTTCCGGACGACGAAAATAGAACGATAGGTGATTTTCGTGATGACGTCAGAAGAGTTCGTTACGTATGGAAGTCATATGATCCCCGACAGTATGCCGATACTTTACTTTGTGTATGGGGACGTGGCACAGAGGGGTATGTTTGTGAAATGTGGTGGACTTAAAATAGTAGTGCTTTGATGCATTGTTGCAAAGATAGATAGAGAGATCAGTTAAGAATCTTAGATAATTAGAATATTTTTGGTGTGACATTGATATTTATCTCTTTCCAGTATAACCACAGACAGGTTTTGTTATACAGCAGTATTAATAGGTAAGTGAATAGTTTACATCCATTTTTTCTAAACGAAACTGGTCCGAAACAGGGTTCAACTTCCGCTATTCACTTCCCTTTTATATATACATTTTCTATTTGTAATTGATGGTATTTTTTGATATTTGCATAACGTTATTTCTTTTACTCAAGTCCCTTAACTCAAATGATGTCCCTTTGAACAACGTAGGGACAACGGCCGTCACACTTCTCCTTCCCATTATGTAAATGTTTATTGCTGTAATAATTCACCAACAAGCTTGTATCACAGGGTAACATAAGTATGTTAGAATTTACGTAATTACTTTATATATATATATATATATATATACAAAAATGGCTTGTATACTATAAAAGCCTTTACATGAGATAAATAAGTGTCAATTTCACAGTGACTAATGATATGTCACGTGGCTGCGTGAGTTCCTCTGACTACCCGAACACTGCGAAGTAAGAATCGGTATGTATGATGAAATTCAGTGCTTTATATTAAATGCAATGCATGTTTGACAGTGTTTTAATTCGATGAATTTTCAATATTTATTTTGACAAATATTTCTCAGAAATATCGTGAAGATCTAAGAAGTATAATAAAAACATAAGCCTTGATTTATTTGGTTTTTTCAAATTCTATTGAAACATATAAGTAATATGTATAGAATTAATCTGTATTCCCAGTATCATATTTCCTTTTAATCATTAATATGTAAAAAAAAAAATGTACAGAATTTTAGTATTGAGCTTTCTCTCTCTCCTATGTGAGAGAGAATAATTCCTTACCAAGGATTCGTTATTTACCATTATTATTTACCCTTCATCGTGATCATTCTGACTAGCTCATACTTTATTCTGCAAACTCAAAAAGAGTTGATCCATTAAAAAAAGAGAACTACTTGCTGTCTCCATATTATTAATGTCTTTTACATTATCGTTATCGACAAATTAAGATCCCAAAATTCCGATTCCCTTAGACATTACAATCCTTTTAGAATGTATGTACTGTAAAATTAAAATAACATATTTTCGATGGTTCAAATTTTCTTGGTTTGAGGAAAAGCATTGCTTTGAGGGGATTCGATTTCGCGGTTTTAGAAGTGTTGAGTGATTATGCATTTGAAATTTTGAAATTACGTGATAGACAAAAATTCGTGGGTCTCTTCGTACCAACCACGAAAATTAGTGACTTCAAAATAATAGTGTGCATAAACAGTTTTCTAATTGCCTCAAAATTAAAAAAAAAAAAAAAAAACTCACCATATATTGATAATTTTTTTAAAACAAAATCAACCAGATCTTAAGTGAAATCACGTTTAAACAAAGTTTGGCCAGCTTAATTTCTATTTGGTTAAGCCCTTGTAGCGATTGGTAAGTATCTGGGTTTTTTTAAATTAAAGATAGAACATGCTGTCATACACTTTTCTTACATAAACCTTCTTGTGATTGAAAGCATAATGTTACTTCGGTCACTAAGTCACTGTTCAACAGTTCACTGTTCATGATGTCCCTTTGAACAACATATACATGTAGGCAAACAGTCACAGATTATGCAAATGTTCAGTTACTGTTATCCAACAACAAGATTGTTATACTATAAAGATAAAAGGATTGCTAGTGTTGAGTTCACAGTGACTCACCGAATGTCACGTGGCTCACGTGAGTTTCTTTCACTAACTGAACACTACTAAGCAGGAATCACCATGTTCTGTACAATATGCATGTACTGAAAGTTGGTGCCTTTTTTTATTTAAAACAAAACAAAAAAAAAATACAAAGTACAGATGCACGTTTGCAGGTATTAAAAATCAGACTGAATTTCAATATTTGACAAATATACATGACACCTGGTCCAACCACTGCACCTTGTCAGAGATTCGTGTTTGCTCTGCTCACAATTCATATATTGTTTCTTTGGACTTGGAGTATAGTTACTTCATATTTCATTGAATTGGTACCATCATTAGATGGGAAGACTATTATCTAGTCTTGATAGTCATTCACGTCTATACGAAGCTTTCATTGCGATTTTTAAGTTAAAAGAATTCGTTTAATCCATCCATTCGTTTTCACTATGTCAGTATAGACGCAAGATTGCAAACTAGCAATTTTTGTCTGATTCGCAAATTAATTTGGAAGATGTGCCAATCTGTGATGCCTCTTAAATACAGTTAGTAGAAACATAAATATGTTTTATAAACAGATAAATGAACTGTTCTAATTTGTATTAAACATACAGACAGCGATGATTGCGGAGGAGTCACGTGCCTGAATGGCGGGAAATGCGTGGATCTTTACAAACGATGGACCTGCAAATGTCCGCACGGATACAAGCCCAAAGACTGCTCACACAGTACGCCAAAAATAGTCAAGCATGAAATCTATATATACTATATATAAATGTGTTTCTCTGTACAAGCTTATAAATACCCAATGGTTTTGATTTAAGGCAACACAATATCTACAAAGAATGTTCAAAATTATCTTTATATTTTTATATTAATTATAATTTTTATAGTCTGAAAACAATAGAAAGACAATAAATATTAACAATGTCATTTAAATATTTTAGAAGTAACATGTGCAGACTTCCCTTGCAAGAACAACGGAACCTGTGTAGACACTGGAACTATGTACACATGTGCATGTATCTCAGGTAATTTTTGAAAAAAAGAGAATATTTTAAGCATCGCTGTACTAAAATAAAAAATGTGGTGGTGACCCAAATATATATATATATATATATATATATATATATATATATATATATATATATATATATATATATATATATATATATATATATATATATATATATATATTAGTATATATATTTATAAAAATGGTATTTGATTATTGTTTATTGTATAACTTAATATTTTGCAGAACTTGAAAGAATCTTACATGCGTCTCTCTCTCTCTCTCCCTCGGTGTGTGTGTGTGTGTGTGTGTGCATGTGTGAACGTGTTTTGTTGGTTGTATATAGCGGGAAAATATTTTCTTTTTCTAGGATTCACTGGCCTCGATTGTGAAATAGAGTTGACTGTGACAGGTACGTATATCAAAGCACAAAAAATATATCCCAAGATAGAGTGATATGAAGATAAAACATATTTTTTTCTTTTCCTTTTTCTTACTTTTTTTTTAAATTATAACGTTGCTTTCCCATAATTTTTTTTTCAGTTCAAAAGAAATCGGTATGTATTTTATCTCTCAAAACAATATTAACACAAAATTGAACAGGATTGGATAGCATAACATAACATATCAGTGTCTCTGATAAAATATTCAAACAAAATAAAAAATAAGGTCATATATAATCGATATGATAGAACTAAATGAGTATTGATGCTATGATTAGGACTTCAAAGTGGTTCCCGCCGTGCTGGGTACTATTGGTGGTGTGGCTCTAGCGTTCGTAACAACAGGTTGCTGTTGGTGGTGTCTGTTTGCAGCAAAAAGACCAGATTCTAGGGAGAAGAAAAAGAGAGTGTCTCCAGGGAACCTTCATAACGTCACACAAGAACAAGACTTAGTAAAAAATGGATGTTAAATAAAATTTACGGTTATACAATGTTTATCGTTTTTGCGTCTTAAGAGGAAGACGGACACATAAAAATCATGCACCTTAGCGGCTTATCTGGAGGTATACCGAGATTCCTCCGACCCCAACCCTCCGCTTTTATTTTGTAATATGTACCCGCACATGTCACAATATAAAATTGGAGGGTTAGAGTCATGCAGAGGAATCTCGGATTAATCTGGAAGGAGTGTCACTTTCAATTCTTCAGGCAAAACGCGTTATCAAAGGAATACTCTGATTTCATATGTTATCTAAAGATTTTTTTTTCATGCAATGTAAATTAGTCCGAAATAACTGATGTTTTCCAGGCGTTTTTCAGGATCTTGATATTTGACGTGCCAGGAAAACGTCAGAAGCGGGCGCCATTATGAAAAGTGGAAATGCGCCGCCTCAATGCAACCGGTGGCGGCATTCTCGGGTCGATTTTCGATACAAATGTCGGACTCCCTCTTATCAACAGTACAATGCTTCTAGTACTTACCAATATCACTTTTATTGTTCCTTTGTAATATAAAGTGTCTGGAGAAACCATTTCATCAAATTGTTGAGGTTTGTTCTGATTTCGTGCGTTTTGAAATCTCGTGAGACCTGTATCGAAATGTAGAGTGATATTTTCTTTTAAGCGATATTGGTGAGAACTAGAAGCATTGTACTGTTGATACGTTGTGAGTTTGACATTTTATTCGATTTGCAATCATCGAAAATCGAGTTCAGTTGGAGGCGGTGAAATTTCCATTTTTCATAATGGTGCCGGTTCTGACGTTTTCCTGGCACTCGTGAAAAATGCCTGGAAAACATCAGATATTTCGAATTAAATGTGCCTATGATTTCCAAATTCCAGTACATAGATTTATCAAGACTTAGCGAGATAATTTTACATGATCAATATCCTCATATGTCCGGCTCTGTTGTACAAAATATGAAGTTATTTGTCATGAATAGAGGATGTTTGTGAACTTTAACTGAACTTGCATAATGGACAATCCGGATGCTGATATCATAGCTCTCAAGCCCGATACATAGATGTGTTCACTTCCCTCAGCTTTTGCCGAGGGGAAGGAGAGCACAAAAGTCATATAATATATGACCAGTATGATTACTTCAATGATAGCTAATTTTAGATCAACATTTTTGTTTCGAAATTGCAACACTGGACAGGAACAGCTGCACGGGGTAGGGGGCGTGACCCCCTCATAATTAATATAATATAAAACATTTTAAATAGATAGTTTACGGTTGTGCTCCATTAATAATTACGTCTGATGACCTTTTCTTGGTTTTGAATTGGGTTTCGGCTGTGCCCACTCTACCAACTGAGATTGCTTCCTACTAGATCGATCGTTCCTGTGACAAATATCGGGAACATAGAACATTTTGAAAAAAGATCGAAATATGAAAAGATCGAATTTTAGAAAACTTAGATTGGAAAAATAAAGGGCTTGTTGAATTTTCGTGGTGGATCTGACAATCGGAAATAAATATATATACATCACACTAATGATCAATTGCTTCAGCTTTCAGCAAGAAGCAATCAGAAACCATATGTATGACACAAACTAGCAATCCCAAGCATTATACATAATGACTAATGATGAAGCTCATAAATCCTACATGTATAACAAAACAGATCGAAAAAAGAGGCCCAAGGGCCACAACGCTCACTCGAGTAAATAAGGCCCTGCTGTTCTTCAGCAAGAAATTTTTTCTTCTATATATTCTTATGTAAAACTTTAATTGCCTTTTGTGACCCCACCCTACCCCAATGTGTCATGATTTAAACAAAGAACAAGGTACGGTTTCAATACAAATCTTGCCCTGTGTTTTTCTAAAAATGAAAGTGATGTAAAAAATTAAAACTCATGCTTTCTGAATCATTGAAATTCCATGCAGAAAGATCATACAAATCATTTTTCTCACATGACTTTCTAAATGCTAATTGTGACGTCATGAACTTGTGCATTTTCCCGTATTTTCTTGAAAAGTTGCAAAGGACACCAATTTTCAATAGAATTTTCTTTCAGATAATATTGTCCACAGGCATCGCCCACAAAGATTTTGAGAAATGTGATTTTTTAAAGAATTTTACACAACATATCCGAAAATTAAAGTGGGCGACGGCTGTGGTCACAATTTTGTTAAGGAAAATAACCCTTGAAATTGGTCATTTTGAGGCTTTTTCTGTTTAAAATAGAAAAATGCTTCAAATTAATGACGTCATATTTCCAGAATGGTACTCCTTCATACCATATTCTTTCCGGATTTATCACAGTCATATACTTAACTAATATTTAAGCCAGTTTCAAAACTTTTTTGAAAACATTAAATTTTTAGGGCACAATAAAGCTAAAACGGTACCTTCTCCTTTGAATCTACAATATCTGAGGATACTTCCATATTCATATGACTAATCATGGCTTTGCTGTTCTTGAGAAGAAATTTTTTTCTTAAAATGTGGCCCCACCCTACCCCAGGGCACATTTGAACAAACTTGAATCTACACTACCTAAGGATTCTTTCATATGAATATGACTAATCTTGGCCTAGCTGTCCTTCAAAAGATTTTCCCCCATATATTCCTATGTAAAACTTTGATCCCCCAATGTGGCCCCACCCTATCCCCGAGGTCATTTGAACAAACTTGAATCTACACTACCGGAGGATTCTTTCATATCAATATGACTAATCATGGCTTTACTATTCTTGAGAAGGAGATTTTAAAAGAATTTTACTTATATTCCTATGTAAAATTTTGATCCCTAATTGTGGCCATACCTTACATCGGGGGTCAAGATTTGAACGAAAATGAATCTACATTATTTGAGGATGATTCCATATCAATATCATGACTAATCTTGGCCAAGCTGTTCTTGAAAAGAAAATTTTTAGAGATGTCTTCCTATATAGTTTTATGGAAAACTTTGATCCTATTATGGCCCCACCCTACCCCGGGGTCATGATTTGAACAAACTTGAATTTACACAACCTAAAGATATTTTTATATTTGAAGAAGTTTTTTTAAAATTTTTTTTCCCCAGTGATTCCCCTTTGTGGTCCAACCTACCCCTGGTGGTCATGATCCAAACAATCTTGAATCGACACCATTTATCTGAGGATGTTTCCATATCAATATGAATAATCATGGCTTCGTTGTTCTTAAGAAGGGTTTTAAAGATTTTATCCTATATATTCCTTTGTAAAACTTTGATCCCCCATTGTGGTTCCATCTTACCCCTGGGGTCATGATTTGAATAAACTTGAATCTACACTATGTGATGAAGGTTTAAACTTTTCTGGCCGATAGTTGAGAAGAAGATTTTGAAAAGATGCCACAAAATTTTCACTAATTCTTAATTATCTCCTCCTTAAAAGACGATGTGGTCCTTCGTTTGTGCGATTTGCATCCCCTTCACCCAAGGATTCTTTGTGACAAATTTGTTTGAAATTGGCCCAGTGGCTCTGCATGGAGAAGAAGTCGAAAATGTGCAGAGTTTACAGACAGACGGACGGCGATCAAACTGTGATCAGAAAGGTTAACTTGAGCTTTCAGCTCAGGTAAGCTAAAAAGGACAAAAACACAGACCCCTGGAAGCAACCGAGGTGGGATCATGGAGAAGTAATCATCTCTTGTCGAACGAACACGCCCGCCCTGAACTTTCTTTTTTGATAACGTAAATAGAGTATTTCACGGTCAAAATTAGTTTGAAAGCAATTGTATAACAATTTGTATAAAACATTTAAGTCAAAACTCGACCCAACGGTAGGCATTATTTGCAAACAAGGTCATTATAACGCCTTGTAACATCAACTTCATTGTCATTAACCTTGATTTAAAAACTGATCTAATTTTTAATTAACAAAGACGTTTTTCAAGGAGGGAAATAAAGTTTCGATCTAAAACATCTCTTTGTGGACAAAAACATGTTGTCATTTAGAAATAGTACATATACTTTTGGGTATCTAATTAACATTTTGCTGTGGCAGTTTAAGAAGTACGGAGATATCTCGAACCGTGAGCATAAAAAAGGGCGATGCCAATACTAATTTACGGATGGCACTTTTCTATATTGACTTTCACTATGAATTTAATTGGCGACCTTAAAAAAGTCAGCTAAATCAAGAAGTCTCCAGAAGGCTGCGTGATTTTACGGATTTATGCAGCTTCAGTCAAGATGTATAAAGCCTCTCTGAAAAAAAATGCGGGTATATGAGGCATTTATACGATAGGTGCCTATTTCTGCCCTCTTCATCCAAGATAAATTATGTTTACATGCTCAAAAAGTATGTCAACATGCAAGATAAGTACGTCTACATTTATTTATATTTACATAATTATGTTGACACGCAAGTTACCAATCTTTTTGCGAATTAATTATGTTGATATGCGACTTCTTCATGTCAACATGCAAGATAATAAGTCGCATGTCAACTATCTCTTGACATAAGTCGCATTTCTACATAATTGTCGCATGTTGACATAAATACGTCGAGTGCCAACATAATTTTTGTTGCATCTTGTGTGTATAATGTCAGATCCTGGCATTAGTATCTGTTTATATAGTTTCTTCTACTTGATTAAGTATAGTAGGGTGGTCCCTTTTTACACCCTTAGTTCACCGGTTAGATATTTAATTAGAATACGATATTCTGTTTGTGTTCAATGTGTATGACGAAGTATTTCTAATTAAATCATTGTGCATTTATACCGAATAATTTAACATATCAAAAATACAAGACAATTTTTGACACCTATCGCACTAAAAAATTCCGGAACATTTCCCCCCAAAGAGACTGCGGTTTCTCTATCACATGGAAATGGGTGGAGACATTTAGATTAGAAACTATAAAGAGATACTTGACAGTACGCATTGCAGACACAAAAAAGGAATTTTACAATCAAAATAACATAACATTGTTTATAATTTTGTATCAAAGATTCTCATTTCTTTATTGCACTCTTTTATATCACATAT